AAAAACAAAACAAAACAAAACAAAACAGTATTTATCACTCAGAGCCATTAGGAAAATTGATATTTGTCCACCATAAAAAATATAACAAGTTGTTCAAGTTCTTTTAGGGCTTCATTCTTGTATACCATGTAATGTATAACTCTCTGCATATTATTTTTTAAATTCATTTTACTTTAGTGATTTATTTTGAGTTGATCCATCATTTGGATTACTTCTTTTCTGCATTTTTATTTTCATTTACTTTGCTCCTTAAGACTTGAAATAACACTGTTGCTAGATCTGAGTTTGAAAAAGAAAATCTGCATTATTAGAGTACATGTGCAGATGTAGATAAATAAATAATATAGTATGCTTGGTACTCCTTTTTTGCATTTTAGAATCTGGTAATCTGTCAGTCCACTCCATGAAAGGCAGTTCACCAAGTCCTCAGAGGCGGCAGTGGGAGAAAAATGTACCCAGCACAACTCTTAGAGCTTTGGAAAATGCACCCATACTCACCTCCAGTTTAACTGCAGAGGATGATAGAGGTTAGTGCTGTCATCATCCCTTGATATCTATGGGGGATTGGTTCCAGAGACCAAAATTCACAAATACACAAGTCCCATATATAAAATGGCATAGTACTTGCATATAACCTACACATACCCTCCTATATACTTCACATAATCTCTAAGTGACTTACAATACTTATTATATGTAAATATAATACCTAATACAAGATAAGTTGTCGTATGGTATTATTTAGGGAAAATGACATGAAAAAAGTCTACATGTTTAGTGAAGACTTAATTTTTAAAATTTTTATTTGTTCTTTTTATTTACACATGACATTAGAATCTATTTTGATATATTTATACAAGCATGGAATACATCTAATTATAATTAGAATCCCAGTCCAAACTTAATTTTTCAAAAAATATTTTTGAAGCTAGCACTTAAAAAAACAGTAGTTATCTGTCAGAGCTGTTAGGAAAAACGGTATTTGCTTGCTGTCCACCATAAAAAGCATAACAAACTGTATGTAAATAAGTTCTCTTGGTGCTTGCTGCATTCTTGTTCATTRTGTAATGTGTAACTGTGTATATTATTTTTAAAAATTCAGATACAGAAGACCAACTGTAGTCAGATTGAATAGTATTATTTATTATAGAACAATTTCTAGTAGTTATTCACTGTGCTACCATTTTATGTCCATCTATAAAGAATATTTGGCATCCCATATCAAAGTGCTACTCATATAGGCGAGTGAAATTTTAGCTAAGAGTCAAATACAATTAACTGTTCTAGAAATAGTTTGGAAGATAGATGCTGAAAATCTTTTTCTTATTTGGCACTAATTTTTATCTTTTCACAACTAGGTGGTTCTATAATAAAGTATAGTGAAAATAACATCCGTAAGCAGTGGCTCAGAGAGACCCCTGACACCCTATTGAACATCCTTAGCAATGCTGATCTCAGCCTGGCATTTCAAACGTACACAATATATAGACCAGGTAATTCTTCCCTACTGTATAATCATAGTAATGTCTTTCATTTTTTAAAAAAAATTTTTGCTCAAATACATATAACATAAAATTGACTATCTTAATCATTTTAAATCTACAATTCAGTAATGTGAAGTACTTTTACATTGTTGTGCAACTAATCTTCAAAGCTTTTTTTTAATCTTGCCAAACTGAAGCTATCCCTATAAAGTAATAATTCCCCATTCTCCCTTATTAGAAAGTTGCAAAAATGTATTTTTAGGGGTTCTTGAATCTTTTCTAGCTAGTTTTAAGCTGTAGTTTAAAAATGCTCATAGAAATACTTAACTCCTATTTGCTTATTTGTTTGCTTATTTTAATAAGCAAATAGCACCCCTGTTTTTTGTTTGTTTGGTTTTGTTTTATTTTTTATAGTGCTGGGRATCAGACCCAGTGATTTGCATATGCTAGGCAAGCAATCTACCACTGAACTACATCCCTGCCCAAGAATAGCCCTGTTTTTGCCTAGTATGGTGGCCATAGCTGTAATCCCAGCAACTTGAGAGGCTAAGGYCAGAGGATCACAAGTTCAAGGCCCACTTGGGCAACTTAGTGAGACCCTGTCTCAAAAAAAAGTAAATAAAAAAAGGCTGAGGGTGGAGCTAAGTGGTGGAGCACCCCTGGGTTAAATCCCTAAGACCACCAAACAAAGACTAGTCCCCTTTTGCCATGCAAATTTATCATTACTTAGTGACAACTCCAAGATTTCTTTTGTTGTATACTTGAGTTTTATTATAGTGAATAGAGCTCAAAAATGATGACTAATTATGATCTGACTTAAAAATTATGTTTATAGATATTTTTCCTAAAATTATACAAAATAATCTTCCACAATACTACCCTTAGGCATGTAGACCAAAGGTCTGGTCTGCATTTAAGAATGTATGTGTGGTTTTCATTTTGTTTTGTTTGCAATATGGGATTGAACCCACTGGATTTCTGAACTGTCTTCAGCCCTTTTATTTTGAAACAGAGTCTCCCTAAATCTCTAATTTGAGATTCTCCAGCCTCAGCCTCCTGAGTTGCTGGCATTATAGGAGTGCAGCATTCTGTGGTGTATGTGTTCTGATGGAGTTGTGCACAGAATATTATGGAAGCCCTGAGGGGAGGTGGGTGGGTGGGCAAAAGATGTCAAGGAAGGTTAATAACTGCAAATTTTTTTTTTTCCTTTCTTGGTGCTGGGGATGGAACCTAGGGCCTTGCACATGTGCTCTACCACTGAGCTACACYCCCAGCCCCTCACTGTACCTTGTATTTTGGCAACTATAAGTTTTGATTTAGCAATTATAGATACTGGATTTTTTTTCCTGGTCCAATGATGAAGTAATTTTCATTTTAGGAGATTCACTGTTTGAAAACTATATCATTCCTCTATTTTGAAATGAATTTTATAAAGATTTAGCCTGCATTTTTATGTTAGGTGTTTATTCCATGAGCAAAAAGGCCAAATGTAATCAGTATCTGCAGTGTTGTTAAAAAGAATATATGGGGGTTGGGGTACAATGGTAAAGAGCTTGCCTTCCTAGCATGTAAGAGGCCCTGGGTTCCATGCCCAGCAYTGTAAAATAAATAAATAAGAATAATAAGTGTACATGTGATCTTCCATTAATTCCTTACTTTTCTTCTTCTCCATTGTGAAACTAGGGAGAGGAAAATTCAAAAGAAGATAAAGTTAACTGTAATCCAACTTCCAAAGATATCTCTTAATACTTTATCATAGATTCTTATGAAGGGTTTTAGTGTGAATTTCTGAGGTGTTTTTAATTTTTTTTGGAAAAAGTACTATTTTAAAATTTAATCCACATACTGATGCTTTCTGGGCCTGTTTATGCCAAAATCATGCTGGGTAGATACTGTGTAAATTGGCATACTTAGCTGGGTGCTATGGTGTGAACCTGGTAGTCCCAGCATTTGGGAGGCTGAAGTCAGGGATTTGTTTGAGTCTAGGAGTTCGGGGCAGCCTGAACAACATTGTAAGACACCCCCCCACCATTTCAAAAATAAATAAGTTCACTTACTTTCTGTTACTATTCCCCTGAAGGTTCAGAAGGATTTTTGAAAGGCCCCCTATCTGATGAAACAGAAGTATCAGACAGTGTTGATGGAGATCACAATTCTGTCATTTTGGATCCAGAGAGACTCGAACCTAGGCTGGATGAAGAAGACACGTATGTTGTGATATGCTTTGGAAGCCTTAATTGGGGGGGGGGGTTGTCTGAGTATATGGGTACAGACACCATATTATATCATAATTTCAGATTCAGTAGGAACTTGTTACATTACTTTTCATTATACAGTAATATTTATATCTTGACTTTTTGTTAGAGATGTGTAATGCCTTACAATTTTATTATAGAATTCCTGGCTGAATCTTGCACATATAATCTTTCAGTTTAGACTTGTTTTTTTGTTTTGTTTTCAGTACTKGAGGACTTGTTATTTTTTAATACATAAGATTTTGCATTGAGAAAAAAGTTTTAAAACAATGAAATAAGTGATCTTTTGGGAGAACTAACAACAATCTTATTCCTCATGGAACTCATTTTTTAAAATTTGAATAATATGGTAGTGTTCTACTTTGAACGTCTCAACAAATATATGTTGACTTTTAATACGGAGGCTTATCATCCAAATTGTTTTTGCACAGGGACTTTGAGGAAGATGACGAYGACCTTGATTGGGTGTCAGAATTGAGGAAGCGAGCTGAATGGCAGAGTGTGTGCGATGGATAACGCCTGCCCGAGAGAATGTGCTGGAGTCCCATGGGAGAGATGTTTCAAATGAAGAATTCATGTTTGGAAATAGAATGAAGAGTGGGGAACTGCCAATACTTAAAATTGCTCCTGATTAGCATCACAGTTTTAAAAATCTAGAACTCCTATGAGTGAGCACAAGTGAGAAGGTAGAGCAGACGGGTATGAGCTTTGCAATCTGATAGAACATAGGTTGGATGCTAGCTCTACCACTAACTAGTAGTGTGATCGATGGTAGGAAATTACTTAACTTCTTTGACCCCAAATTTTCTTAGTTATAAAATGAGGATAATGATGCCTACCTCTTGGGGATGCTGACCATAGATAGTTTTAGCAGCTCATATGTTAACTATTCCTGTTGCTACAACTTGTGTTTATTACTATAACAATTTTCACATTTCCTCAAGGTTTGCAGATCTAAATACATTTACTTAGAATATAATGTGTGCGATTTTATTTATTTATTTGGTACTGGGAATTGAATTCAGGGGCACTTAACTACTGAGCTGGCCCTCAAATTTGTATTATTTGTATTTTATTTAGAGACAGGGTCTCACTGAGTTGCTAAGGGCCTCACTACGTTGCTGAGACTGGCTTTGAACTTGTAACCCTCCTGCTTCAGCTTCCTGAGCTGCTGGGATTATAGGCATGCGCTGCTGTGCCCAGCATATGTGCAGTTTTTAAATAAGATCTAGCTCTGGGTAGTTATCCTTAAGTACAGATTCTTATAGGATATACAAAAGAACCCAGTCAGAGGATTAGCTATGGGGAGAATGAGGTGGATTGTGATTAGCTCCTTGAAGGTAGTCACTACTCTCTTTAAAAAAAATTAAGGCAGGCAAGGATAGTTTTAAAGGTATTTACAGATCCTCAGTTTCCATATACACTATATTTTATAGTTCTCAGTCATTTCAAATCTTAGCATTGYCCCAGGGTGTAAACATTTCCAAACCATCAATTAAAGGCATCTTGAATGTATAAGAGGCTGAATGAGTCTTGGATTAATTATTTTGAAAATCCAATGGTTTGTAGGATTGTTTGCTTCAATAAAATTTYAGGAAGTGAATGGAATTATCAGGTGATGATTATAAATCATTTTTTGTGATAATTACTGTATGATTCTGCACATACAACTATGCAAAATTGAGGGATAATTTTAACAAAGCTTCTAGTCCTGCGTCTGTATTTAGATGAGATTTTTCAGCATTTAATAGTTTTTTTGTTGTTGTTGTTTTTTAGACAGAGAATTTTTTAATATTTATTTTTTAGTTTTCAGTGGACACAATATCTTTATTTTATTTTTATATGGTGCTGAGGATCGAACCCAGCGCCCCGCACATGCCAGGCGAGCAGGCTACCGCTTGAGCCACATCCCCAGCCCAAGCACTTAATAGTTTTTAAGAAAAAGGATGGGGTCAGGTATGCAAATGCCTCCTAGTGATTCAGGAGGCTGAGGCAGGAGGATGGCAAGTTTGAGGGCCAGTTTCTGCAATTTTTCCTGTCTCCAAAAGGGCAGGGGAACATGGGAAAGACTGGGAAGTAGCTCAGTGGTAAAAGCACCCCTGGGTTCGAGATCACCAGAACTGGGGATAAAATAAGGGGCAGAAATGAAGAAAAACTGATGGGATTGATTGTGTGTGTGTTTACCATTGGGCTACATTCCCAGCCCTATTCATGTATTTTATTTTGAAACAGGGACTCACTAAGTTGCTGAGGCTAACCTCAAACTTAAGTGTCCTTTAAAAAAAAATTTTTTTTTTTTTTTTTTTAGTTATTGATAGATCTTTACAGGCAGTGGTTGGTTTTTTGTTTGTTTTTGGACAAAGGTGGGTTACTTTTTTATTATTGATTTTTTAAAATAAATGACAGGAATGTATTACAATTCTTATTACACATATAAAGCACAGTTTTTCATATCTCTAGTTATATACAAAATATATTCACACCTTTCATATTTTCATATATGTACTTTGGATAATGATGTCCATCACATTCCACCATCCTTGCTAACCCCCTGCCCCCTCCCTTCCCCTCCCAGCTCTCTTTCTTATCTACTAGAGTTCATCTTTTCCTCCCATGTTTCCTCTCCCTACCCCACTATGAGTCAGTCACCTTAGAAAACATTCACCATTTGTTTTTTTGGAATTGGCTATCTTAGCATTGTCTCCTCCATCGCCACCCATTTACCTGCAAGTGCCATAATTTTATTCTCTTATTGCTGAGTAATATTCCTTTGTGTATATATGCCATTTTTTAATCCATTCATCTATGAAGGGCATCTAGGTTGGTTCCACAGTTTAGCTATTGTGAATTGTGCTGCTATAAACATCGATGTGGCTGTGTCCCTGTAGTGTGCTGTTTTTAAGTCCTTTGGGTATAGACTGAGGAGAGGGATAGCTGGGTCAAATGGTTGCTCCATTCCCAATTTTCCAAGGAATCTCCATACTGCTTTCCATATTGGCTGCACCAATTTGCAGTTCCACAAGCAATGTATGAGTGTCAAAGATGGGTTAAATGGTCATGTTATTTAGATTCATTGGATATGGACGTGTTCTACTTGTGTCAGGATTTACCTTTGGTGAAAATTACATCCTTTCAACTACTTAGACAGGTAATGAACTGTATTAGACTGCAACTTGATGTGCCAATCAGGAATAGGACGGGGTGAGAGGGCCAGTTTGCAAACTACTGGGCAGCAGATAGTTTGTAAGGGGACCCAAAGGAAGGCGTAGGTTGTGGCCAAGAGTAGGACCGGATCTGTCTCACATACACCCATGACAGTATTTAAGGCCCTATACAACACACATTTCCTGCTCAGAGTGTAGATCAGTAGTAGAGCACTGGCTCAACCTTCGCYAAGTGCGTGGTTCGATCCCCGGCACCACCACCATGACAAAAAACAAATAATATGCTTCCTACCTCCGTTCAGTTCATTTKGTAAAACTGGGAGACTACCTCTTTGGAKTGTGATTTAAAGAATAGAGAAAAATGTATGCAAGGTGCTCCCTAAGAAGAGCGGGGACCGGTATAGATCTTGTGTTATGCTAGCGGTCGCCACCTAAGGCATTAGGAGATTAGTGATCTATCTGTTGGGTTTCTGCCCTTTTTTTCAGGGTGAACGGTGCAGACAGGTGTCCTGTCTCTAGCCCGGCACCCTACCTGTGTTCCCTCACTGGCTCCGCCCAGGCCACCGGCAGTTTCAGCTGCCCGGGAAACCTGGATCCACCCAGACGCTTTGCTGGCCTAGCGGAGCCAGGAGCCGGCAGAAAGGTATGCTGCGGGCAGGCCTCGTCCCTAGGTGGAGCTGCCTCAGGATCCGCAGGGGGCGGAGGGGCGGGGCGATGATGGGAGTGGGGTGGGGAGGGTCGATGGAGTCCCAGACTGGGGGGCCTGGCGGGCGAGGACTTGCTTAGTGTCCAGGGCTGGGTCGCGCTCCATGGCAACGCGCAAGACGCTGAGCTCCAGAGCACAGGCGGCGACCCGGCAGCCCTCCAACCAGCAAACTCCAAGGGTGGTCCTCTGTCATGTGCCTTCTATTCCAGGACTGGTGGTCTGAATCCCCGCGATTGCGCCCCCGCCTGGTTCAGAACCTGGTCTTCTGGTGCCCGTAGTCTCCGCTGGCAACGCTTTGGTGCCCACTTCCTACCCTGACATGGAAAAACAACCTGTCTTGTTCACCTGATTTTTTAAAACCCGCGTTATGTTCTAATGGTAGCATAAAGGGAAGTAGAAGGAGACAAAGTGTGTATTTCCCTCTGTAAGTGCGTAGCACTACTACAAAGTAGTACTGCAATCTCCTGAATGTGGCGGCAGCGTGCAGATTGCTGGGTCTCTGAGCGCGGCCAATGGAGGGCGTGATTTTCAAAAATGGTGAACAATTTTTGGTAAAGTTCCAAAATGCAATAAAGAATGCAATAAATGATATCTATATATCATTTGTAGGAAATGCAGTGTGAGTTATACCTGTAGGAAATTTTATATATATATATATATAAAATGTCTAGAGGTAAAACAGAGTTTGGGTCAAGCCGCAGATAATTGTGAACGGATTCTTCTACACATATAAATGTACGAGGAGACTTTCTAAGTTTGAGCGGCAGGGCAATCCTTTACTGTGTAGGGCAGGCCTTCGCTTGCCAACTAGTATTGCAGACCCTAACTGCCTCTAGATACTGTAATGCCTCTGATTCTGTGCAGAGCTGAAAACCCCGTATCAATTTACAAGCTTCCCCTAGGGGGCAGCACCTTCTCACTGAGAAGGGCTAGATTGTGCTACCACACTGACATAAGGATATTCTTCTTCTCTGGAGGTGACAGGCACCAGGGATATAAGATCTTTCCTTGTCAGAACAAACTTTCAACACAGGTTTATTTCCATTTAAACCTGAAAAGTGAGGTTTTGCAAGGTTAAGTGACTTGCTCAAGGTCACAATGCAAGGAAATTATTTGATTCTGTCTTTGCAAAGTTGGAAGGGAAATTTTAGCAACGTCAGTTCTTTTACATTTTAGTCATCAATTTTCTGACTTTGGCCCGGTGCAGTGGCACATGCCCATAATCCGAACGGCTTGGGAGGCTGAGGCAGGAGGATCATGAGTTCAAAGCTAGCCTCAGCAAAAGTGAGGTGCTAAGCAACACAGAGAGACCCTGTCTCTAAATACAAAATAGGGCTGGGGATGTGGCTCAGTGGTTAAGTGCCTTTGAGATCAATTTCCAGTACAAAAAAAAAAAAAAAAATCTGACTTTTTTAGTTGTCATGAGGGATGTGCAGTAAAATTTCAATACTTTATTCCCAGAAACCTTCGAGCACTGTAGAACATGGATAAATTTGACATGATTAAAATCATTGGGGAAGGTGCCTTTGGAAAAGCATACTTGGCTAAAGAAAAATTGGATAGCAAGCACTGTGTCATAAAAGAGATCAATTTTGCAAAGGTAAGGTTGAGAAGTTCCAATTTTTGTTAAGAATAATTGTACTCTTGAAAATGATTAAAATAGTATAAATTGTGTCTTTTATATATTTTACCACAATTTTTAAAGTTGTAAAAGAACTTTAAAAGAAAGTTGTAAAAGAAACTCCCTAAAAACTACCCAAACCTAAGTTAAACCTCATGTGTGAATGATTAACTTCAGACATAATGCAATTTGCCAATACAGGTCCCGTATTATGGATCCATGGCATATTCATAGTGTTCTCTTATTCTAGTAGCCTGTTATAGTCTTCTTCTATGACTTTGTTTTGCTCACTCATTTTTGTTTATCTGACTGCTGTTCCTGAGGCCCCTCTCTTTCCTCACTCTCTGTATGTCCCTAGTCATCTGCCCTTTGCTGACCTTCTCTTTCTACACATAAGCACCTGGTAATCACTTCATTTCACTTCAGTGTTTAYCACTAAGCAGATTACTCTTCTTCCTGCTCCTTCATTCCACATTTCACCTTCCAGCTAGATATCTCTAAGTAATATCTATGTTAGTGATCTATTGCTGTGTAACATATTAGTTCCTTAAATGCTAAACATTAATCATCTCATAGTTTCTATGCACCAAGAATTTAGGACAAGGGCTGGATGTGGTCATGTAATCCCAGCAGCCCAGGAGGCAGAGGCAGGAGGATCACAAGTTCAAAGCCAGACTCAGTAACTTAGACCCTATCTCAAAATTAAAAATAAAAACCAGACTGGAGGGTGCTGGGGATATAGCCTAGTTGATAGAGTGCTTGCTTTGCATGCACAAGATCCTGGGTTCAATCCCCAGCACTGTGCATGCGTGCGCACGCGCGCACGCGCGCACACACACACACACACACACACACACACAATGGGAATGTGGCTCAGAGGTTAAGTGCCGCTGGGTTCAATCCCTGGTACCAAAAAAAAAAAAAAAAAAAAAGACAGAATTTAGGACAAGGATCATTGAGACCATTTGGGAGATAGTTACCGCAATTGTGCCCAAAACCAAGTGGGAATTTCCCATCATTATATGCAGACCCATTTCACCATCCCTGTACTGCACTGTGTTAATGACATCAATGTCTTTATGTTATCTGGGCTCCAAATCTTGGGGTCATCTGTGAGTCTTTTCTCTCTCCAAATTCCAATTATCTGCTAAATACTCTGGACTCTTTCTCTTCCTTGAATTTGCTTAAATTTCTTTTGTCATGTAGAGTTGGGTCATTTGTCAATACCTTGGATCCTCCAGCAGCTTTCTCATGGCTCCATTTTTCATATAGTACAGTTTTATTTTTAAAAAAATATTTTATTTTTTAGTTATATTTGGACATAATACCTTTATTTATTTATTTATTTATTTATTTTTAATGTGTTGCTAAGGATCAAACCCAGGGCCTTGCATGTGCTAGGCAAGTGCTCTACCTCTATAGCCACAATCCCAGCCTCTATAATACAGTTTTCATAATGCTAAAGCCACGCTCCCAAACTTCACTGGAAGTCATAAAGTCATAAAAGAAAAGGTGGCAGGGTTGACTCCATAAAAATATAAAACTTCTAGAGCTGGGATATAGCTCAGTGGTAGAGCGCTTACTTAGGATGTACAAGGCCTTGGGTTTGATCCCCAGTACCAGAAAAACAGAAAAACTTTTTTATAAAAATATTTATCAACTCATTTCATAGCATCTATCCAAATTGTTAGTATAATCACAAACTGTTTTTCTAGTGCAATACTAATTGTATTCATCATTTAACTATGTTCCATAAATAARTAGAATGCTATTTTAGAACTCATTATTCTCATCTCCCCATATTTCTTTATGCTATCAGATTTGCCTGTGACATTGCTGTCATAGTATCAACATTGATTACAAAAAAATCGATTACCTATTTCTTCCTTTCTGCTCTAATGTAGCTTTTTATTATTTCTTGTCTAGAGAAATTTACATTTATTTTATTATTTAATTTATTATTTCTTGTCTAGAGAAGTTTACATTTCTTCTCATCTCTCCAGTGCCACCACCACCAATAACTCTAGGTCAGAATTTAAATTGCTTATTTTCTTACAGGTATCAAAAAACTAATATTTTCTCTTATCATTCTACTGTTATTAAACATGTTCTTTTTTATATATTGCTTCAAAAAAAAAAAGTGTTGTATCTTGTCTCTCCACCATACCCCCCTCTTTATTTGGCAGTTCTGGGATTGAATTCAGGTCCCTGTGCATGCTGTATCTTTTCTTAATTATAAGGGAAAAAATTTCATTGTAGAAATTTTTAAAATAAGCAAAGAGGAAAATAAGACCTTTTAGAGGAAAACAAAGATAATTTATGACATCTTTCTTAATTATTTAACATAAGCWTTTTTAAAAATTTCTCTCCAAGCTGGGCTCAGTAGTGCATACCTGTAACTCCAACTGCTAGGGAGGCTGAGGATCACAAGTTCAAGGCCAGTCTTGTCAGCTTAGCTTGCTGTATCAAAATGAAAAATAAAAAGGGCTAGTGATGTAGCTCAGTGTTTTTTTTTTAAATTTTGTTTTGTTCTCCAGACTATTTTTAATGATTAAGTGGACTTTAGGGTTAGGAGTGTTGTTCAGAGGTTGAGCGAGTTTGTAGCACACACGGTCCTGGGTCCTATCCTTGGCACTCCAAACAATCAAATTTACAAGTCTGTATTATTAGAGTAATTTAAACACCAGCAATAAAACTCTGTATTAAATAATTTTGTATAACTCCTGGGCACATTTTTTATTTATTTATTTTTTTACACTGCAAAAAGGTCATCTATGTACATAAGAGTGATTTCAAGACATTATGATTTTCTTTATAAACAGATGTAAGAACAGAAATTGTCCACTTTTGAAACTACATTTCAACCCTCCACTATTATTATAATCCACTGATTAGCCTGTATCGAGGCAGTTCTCCCCACCCCCATTTGATTTTCCAAATGAATTTCCACCATTTCTTCTTCATCTGTGGCCCTGGCTTTTTTTTATTCTTTTCTTTGGAAATTTTTCTAGAATTATTAAAAAATAGGAATAGTTTTAAATTTCATATTATGTAATTTTACCAATGTATGGACTTTTACCAGAAAGATTTTACCAATGTATGGACTTTTACCAGAAATATGAATGTCTATTTTGCTGGGTTTTTAGCCCATAGTGTTTGTTAACATTCTTTTCATCTTTGCCAATTTTGTTTTAGCTTTTATTCCTTTGATTACTGAATGATGTATTTTTTCCTACTTTAAATTTTTTTTTGTAGATGTAGGTGGACAGAATGCCTTTATTTTATTTATTTTTATGTGGTGCTAAGGATCAAACCCAGGGCTTCACACATGCATAGTCAAGTGCTCTGCCACTGAGCTACAGTCCCAGCCCCTATTTTTCCTATTTATTGATCATAATTTAATTCCTTTATTTTCTTTCTTTTTTGTGTATGTTGCTTTGCTGTTTTTGTCTTCTCCTTTTTCTTTTCTTTTTTTTTTTTTGGTGTGTGTGTGTGTGTGTGTGTGTGTGTGTGTGAGAGAGAGAGAGAGAGAGAGAGAGAGAGAGAGAGAGAGTCACTAGG